ATTTCCACTTCCTTCTTCTGTTCCCTGTGCACAAGTCCTATGAATATTGCCACATCTTAAGAGCAGCCTGATTTGGACTTTCCAGACTTTACGTTCCAGAGAGGTGAACAGAGCCATTCCCAGGTCTTCCCCCTTTCTGTTGTTCTGACTTGATTCCGGGAGAGAGGGTTCCAGCATCCTTGGCAAGTTACTCTTCCAGTTTAAAGTTATTAACTTCCTGGATGCATAAAACTGAGATCTAAATCTGTTACATGGAAAATTCCGACTTGTTCTTGAGAATTAACGAATCCAAGTATTGGATAAATTTGGTGAAGACCAAAATTGCTGATCAATCCAGCTAAGAGCCAATACTCAAACTGTAAAATAATTCACTAATAAGTCATCTAGGGCTGAATCCATTTTTACTTAGTTCATTCGGCATGAAACAAGAATAATCAGGGATGAAAATGCATCCTTTGCCCTCATTCATAGCTGCCTAGTTTGAAAGATATGGATGAGTTTGATGACTAAGCTTGACAGTTAGGCAGCTCAACCCTCTTCAATGTGCTGCTCTCCTACCGTTCCTTCTTTCTTGTTCCATAACTTAGGCATATTGAGGCATATTCATTATAGACACAAACAATGCAGCAAAACAAAATCAGGGAATACTAACCATTTGGATTTTGTTGTACCACATTCTAAGCTTTTAAAATTCCTACACTTGCCATAAAGATATGTCAACATTGGATCATCCTATATGTAAAGTCTTAAAATCTACTTGTATATCACTATGTATCATTAACATCTTTCTGTGATAATATGGTAATTTTTTTAAAAAAATGGACATATGTTTTCTGATTATCAAAAATCCTATATAATAAAAGCCTAATATGAAAATTGTCCCCACGGGTGGTCATTCGACCCGGGAGTTCGACCACTCTCTATAATGTGAGCTGACCACCAGGGGTCGGCGAGGAACATGGCTGGTGTCAGCGATGCAGCACTGGCAGCAGGCTGCAGTGGAGGTACTACCAGCCCTGATGGGCCCTGACAAGAGCAGGACCATGGCGGGATGGTGGAGCAGGTGAGCGGGTGGCGCCAGGTCAATGCGGGTGCAAGCAGGGGCCCAATCGCCCCGCCGATCATCCCACAGACAGCAACCAGCAGCAGTGGCTGGGGGCGGGGCCACCACCCTGCTCCCAGGTGCTGAGGGAGCCGGGTGGGGGACCCAGCCCAAACGATCGCCCCATAGGTGGGATGGTAGAACAAGTAAGGGGGCAGCACCAGGCCAAGGCGGGGTGCCAGGCGGGGCTGCGAGGCTGGGGGTGCGAGCTGGGGCTTGATCTCCACAGGCCACCCCAAGGGCCCCACCCGAGCATGAATTCATGCACTGGGCTTCTAGTATATTATAATTGTAAAAAATTGAGAAAATATTGAATTGCATAAAGAATCAGGATTCTCTTTTAATACACCACTGTTTACATTCTAGTATATAGCTTTCTCCACCTACCACACTCTCTTGAACAGCTCTTCACCCCCTTCCCAAACCTTTAGGTTTCTTCATGAATCACATTTATATTCAAGCGGATTAGGCTATGTCGGATGGTGAAAATACAGCAAAGCACCGAACACACAAGTTACTATAAAGCATCCAGCACTCGTGTGATTTTGAACATACTTTTCCCTTACACTCATTTATAATTAGTGCCTAACATGAGATGGAGAAGAAGAAGGAGCATAGGACTTGGAATCCAAAGTTTCAGATTTGAGTGTAACTTCTGCTGAGACACAACCTATGTGGGCATCCATTTTCTCCCCTGTGACATGGCAGTTGTACAAAAATCTGCTTCCTAGGAGCTGGGTAAAGATCAGGTGAGGCCATGAACACAAAAGCAAATTTTGTGATAATTGTATAACTGCTCAGTGATGTTAATAATATTTGCTACTATTGATGACATTGAAAAGCATTTCCCTAATCTTGCATGCCCAACCTCTTAGGCCTTTTTCTAAAATGGATTTTTTGACAGAATGGAAGGGACTAAAATGATACGGCAGAAGAGCAGAGTGCAGAGGGAGGGAAAGCCTGCATCTCCAGGTGATTTGGGCCTCAGTATTCTCATGGGTAAAAGGAGGAAACTGGACAAAATGGCCCCTAAATGCTCTTCCGGCTCTGAGATGCCGGTCAGTTATTCCGTGATCTGAGGCAAATCATTTCTCCGAAGGCCTTGGCTTCTCATTTGTAAAATGAAAGGGTTGGGCTGGATGATCTCTGTGATCTGTTTCCCTCCTGAGTATTTACACAACCCGGTGACCTGCCCTCTGTCCTCCCCGTTCCCTAACATGCGCTGGGTGCCAGCGCACCTTCCAGGCGTGGCCTCGGAGTCCACATGTGGCGGGCTGTGGTTTCTTCTCTTCTCTCTGTTTGGTTTTTCCGCTGCATGCTCACAAATAGCCAGGTGCCAGCTTAGCAGAGGAAACCAACCCTCTGACACAGGGTGAGCCGGGGCTGCCCACTGGTTTACCTTCCCCATGCCCCGGGATTAAGCATCCTTGCTCTGTTTCCGGGTGGAGCTGGGGCCTTTCTGGCCCTTTCCCATGTCCCCAGATGCCATGTGCTCCAGATAAACTCATGTGCAGTCTCTTCCAGGGTCAGCTGCCTGCCCCCCTCCACTCTTTCTCCTCCTATCTCTGTCTGTGGTATTTTCCTTCAGGGAATGCCTCCTCCAACAAAATCGCTCTTCTTTATCTCCATAATCAGTAATCACCACTCCTTCTGAATTCTTTCTATGAGAGGTATGCACTTTTTTTTCTTTTTTTTTAGTTCCTATCAGTTTTTGTCTTTAAAAACAAAAACAGAAATACTCCATTGCTCCCTGCCTGTCTTCTCCAGGGCTGGGTGCCCCACATCATACAAGCAAGCATTCGATGAGATGAGCACTGGCTGGCATGAGTTGTAAGGGACTTTTGCACATCTACTCTTCCGCCAAGGCCTTGCACGGTGAAGCCGAGGCTTCGATATTCGTCTCAGCAGGGAGTTACTAACGTTACTAACGCCACCATCACCAGCGTCAATGCGTAATCACAGTCTCCTGAATGAAAGACCCGGGTTTCACTGAACTGGATGATTCGCCAGAGACCAGGAGTCACAAATGGGATTTCCGCTCAGAATGACCTGGCTTCAGACCCTGACGTTGCTATTTGTTGCTTAGTTACTTGCCATCTTATGTGGCTTCTCTAAACCTCTGATTTCTTTTCTATAATATGGAATAGCAATGTCTTTCCCATAGGGTTGGCCTGAGGCTTAAAAGTTAACTGAGGTGAAACTTTTTTTTTTTTTAACAAATCTTTATTGTTCAGATCATTACAGTTGTTCCCCCTTTTTCCCCCCATAACTCCCCTCCACCCAGTTTGAGGTGAAACTCTTAACACAGAGCCTGGGGTCGGGAAATGTTGGCCACGCAGACTCCTGTGCTCCCTCCTTAAGAACCTTATCACTGCCAGGTTTTTATTTGTTTATTTTTAAAATTACATTTATTGGGGTGACATTGGTTAATAAGATCATATAGGTTTCAGGTGTACATTTCTATGATACAAGACCTGCATACTGCACTATGTGCCCACCACCCAAAGTCAAACCAACCTCCCTCACCACATCTTAGACCCCCTCCCTCCTAACAGACTTTAACATTTTTATTTTTATTTAGGTATCATTGGTATACAATTTCATATTGGTTATATTATTTTCCGGTGTACAATACAGTGATTCAACATTTGTATCCCTTACATGGTGATCACTCCACTAATTCTAGAATCATCTAACCGATTTAGATTGTGTATTGTTTGATCTAACTCGGGGCATATTCAAGATGCCCAGAAGGAGGGAAGTCAGTGCATCTTGTCATTTTCAATGGGCTTTTATGTGTATCATCTCATGATTCCCCGGAATGCTCTGGAGGGTGAGCAGTGCGGGTATCATTAGACCCATTTTTCAGAGGAGAAAACTTAGGCTCAGCGAAGTTAAACCATTTGCCCGCAGTCCGTTTGGTTATCAGAATAGGTGTTCCTAGTAGTTAGAATGTGTCTCTGAGACTTAAACCTGGGTTCGCTTAGTTCATTGCAAACTCTCTTTCCACCATACACTGAAAGATCAGGTGGAGGGGGAGAATTGCTTTCAACCTTAGTAATGGCGAGACCTGGATGCAGATGAACTAGGGAAATGTTCCAGGCAGGGCATTTTATAAACAGGGTAGAGGCAGGAACAATCGGGTTGGGCTCTAGGGAAAACGATTAGACATGTTTTGCTGCAGAGTTCATGGAAGAGCGGTAGAAAATAATGGAGTTAAGGTTGAGCATACACTGGAGGGCCTTAAATGCCAGACTAAGGAACTGAAACTGTAATTGGCCTAGGGGAGCCATTGAAGGTTTCAGAGGGGGAGAGGCCTCCAAGTCATGACTCACCAGGAATGGTTGAAGAAACTGATGCTTAGCCGAGAAAAGAGAAGACTTCTTGGGGTGTTTGCCAGACTTGGGGGAGGACATGATCATTGTTAGGGGAAGGAAGAAAGAGCCTTGTTTCATGTGGGCTCCATGAAGGATTTGTGGGGAAACAGTGAGGGCCCATGGGTAGAAGCTCTAGGAGACAGATTCTCAGTTCACATGAGAAAGAACTTGCTGGTCTTTTCAGGGCTCTTTAACCATGATCTGGGCACTGGGAGGCACTGGGATGGAGCAGTGATGGACCAGGACAAAGTTCCCGCCCTCGCGGAGCTCCTATGAAATTGGGGAAGATGTGCCTTAAAGTGAATCACCCCAGAAATGAATGTTTCAGCCCAAACTGTCTAGGGCAGTGATGGCGAACCTTTTGAGCTCGGCATGTCAGCATTTTGAAAAACCCTAACTTAACTCTGGTGCCGTGTCACATATAGAAATTTTTTGATATTTGCAACCATAGTAAAACAAAGATTTATATTTTTGATATTTATTTTACATATGTAAATGACATTTAACAAAGAAAAATCAACCAAAAAAATGAGTTCGCGTGTCACCTCTGACACGCGTGTCATAGGTTCGCCATCACTGGTCTAGGGCAAGTATAGGCTGCTCTGACAGGTGTAAGTTCCCTATCACTGGAGTTTTCAAGAGAAATGTGTCTGGAAAGGGGATTATTGTGTTCCGAGAAAGGCGGGGTCAGTAACTTCTCATATGCTTCTCCGGGTGTTGCAAAATCTTCAGCAACCCTAAATCCTTTAATTAAAAGGAGATAAAAAGGCAAAGATCAATTGGCGTCTTCTTTTTCAAAAAGCCCATACTTGCATGCTCCATCTTACCTGGGGTTCGAGGTGCAGGAGTGTGGCCAAGCAGGAAATTCATCCTACTCGGAGCTGGGTGACTCCACCTATGAATTGAAAATCATTTAGCTGAAATTGTGACATCGTGTGCAAATTATGGCCCTGCTGCAGGTCGGGGCTGGGGCCCTGTGCAGCTGCGGCCCTGGCGCAATCCCCCAGCTGCTAACATGAAGACGACGCGGGGCGGGCGGCCAGGGCAGGGCCCCGCTGCAGTTAGCAGGCTCCAGG